GGTGGTTTCTTGGGCCCTGTCCCTGGAGGAGGGTTGCTGGGCCAGAGCATGAACGTGCAGCTCTTGAAGTGTGTCGCTAGCTGTTTACAGCCCAGGGCAGCCCAGGCCTGCCCGGCCTGGCCTCAGGCCTGGACCCCGCCCCTGGACACCCTCCTCTGAAGCCCTGGCAAGGTAGGCTGCTGCTTTCCCAGGCTAGGCCTTTTCTCCCAGTTGGGGACAGCAGGCCCTAGTCATCACCCTGGGAGGCCCACAGCCTAGGCAGCAGCTTATGGAGTGTCCTGGGGATGGACCATGGGCCCCTTGAGACTCCCCAAAGCAGAGATGTGTGGATGTGGCCCCCTGCCTTGGGCCTCTGTGTCCTGGAAGACGGGCTTAATAAACTGCATCTCAGGGCCAGCAGGTGGCGTGGGGGTTAAGGCACCGGATTCCCACAAGATCAACATCAGTTCGAGTCTGAAACTGACTTGAAAATCATTCTGGGTACGTGTGCATGTGTGCCCAAAATCCTGAGAGGAAAGTGGAGGAGAAGGGATTGTGGCATGGCCATCCTCCCTGGGGAGCGATTTTTCACTTTCTTTTTCACGCTAGTTCTCTCTCTGGCAAGCACATGTGCCCTATGGCAAAAACCTTAAAACCCTACCTCTCAGACATGAATATGTTGGGTTTTTGGGAAAATCATGACACATTTTTGCATAGAAAAATAGAAAAATACCTCATGATGTTCCCGATGAACTGATAGAATGTACAGTATTCAGCCCATCTTTTTTTTTTTTTTTTTGGAGAGGTTTTCGCTATAGGGCGCCTGCGCTCGCCAGACAGACAGACAGAGACAGAGAGACAGAAAGTGAGAAATCACCCCCCAGGGCGGATGGTCACGCCGCAATCCCTTCTCCTCCATTCTCCTCTCGGGATCTTGGGCATGCACGCACATGCGCCCGGCGTGAGTTTTAAGCCACCGGGTCCGGGACGCGAACCTCAGTCGACTACGTGGGAGTCCAGCGACATAGGCATTACGCTAACTGCTGTTCCCTATCCCATTTCTTTTTTTGAGAGATTTTTTTTTTTTTTTTCATGATACAATACATGTACTTGCTGAAGAGACAGAAACAGAAAGTGAGAAATCACCCCCTGGCGGGGATGGACACATCATAATCCCTAATCCTCCATTCTCCTCTTGGAATTTTGGGCATGCGTGCACACATGTCTGGTGTGAGTTTCTTTCGAGTTTCTTTCTTTTTCTTAAGAATTATTTTATTAAACTTTATTTATTTATTTATTTATTTTAATTTCACCAGAGAAGGATAGAGAGAGAAAGTGAGAAAGCAAGCTGCTGTCTGGGACTTCGAACTGCGGTCAGACATGTGGGAATCTAGCGCTCTTAACCACCACACCACCTGCTGGCCCTCGGTGTGAGTTTTAAGCCACCAAGTCCAGGACTTGAACCTCAGTCAGCTATGTGGGAGTCCAGTGATGTAACCATCACTCCATCCACTTGTCTCCAACCTGTCATGTTTTAATTGTGCCTGCCTGCTCTAGCAGATGAAAAATCTTTTTTGGGGGAAGGGGGGCTAGAGGGCACGTGTGTTCACCAGAAGAAGGTGAGAAAGCACCCCACATGGTGGGTGGTCCTCCTCTGTCTCTCCTTTGGGCATGCGTATACACACCCCTGGTGTGCTTTATTATGCCGCGGGATCAGGGACTAGGATCCAGCCAGCTTACCCACCACACCACAGGCTGGCCTCACACCGTCATTCTCAGGAAGCACTGAGGGAAGGGCTGGGGAGCAGGTGGTGACTCCTTCTGTTTAGGGTACAGACGTGTGGGAGACAGACAGCAGTTTCGGGTGATTTAAAAATACCAGTATTACAGAGCATCACCATGAATGTAAGGTTCTATGTAATAAAATGATTTCAGAGTGGGAACCAGCAGTTGGCATAATGGCTATGTCACTGGACTCCCATGTAGTTGATCACAGTTCGAGTCCCGGACCCAGTGGTTTAAACTCATGCCGGGCACGTGTGTGTGTGCCCAAGATCTTGAGAGGAGAATAGAGGAGAAGGGATTGCAGTGTGGCCATCCCCCCGGGAGGTGATTTCTCACTTTCTGTCTCTCTGTCTTTCAGGTGAGCGCATGCGCCCTACAGTGAAAACCTCTCCAAAAAAAAAAAAAAAAAGATTTCAGGGAAAGAACTTGACTTCGAGATTGCCATTTCTAGATTGCAAGGATAAAGCTGTCCTAATTTTTGAATTTTTAAAAAACTATACCATTTAGCTGCTTAATGATATAGTTAATGTGCAGTGTTTTTAGATTTAGGGATAGAACAGCATTCTCATATTCTAAAAAATAGGACATTATTTGACTAGTTGGATGTTTTCCTTTTTTCTTACAGTAAATTATTTATTTATTAGTTTTTTGCCATAGGTGTGTGTGCTTGACAGAGAGAGACAGAGAGAGCGAAAGTGAGAAATCACACCCCCTCCTGGGGGATGACCCCGCAACAATCCCTCCTCTTCCATTCTGTTGGGATTTGGGGCACATACACAAGCACCTGGTGTGATTTTCAAGTCACTGGGTCTGGGACTTGAGCCGTGGTCGGCTATGTGGGGATCCAGTGCCTTAACCACCTTAACCATTTGCTGGCTCCAAGGTAAAATACTTTTTACTGAAATATTTACCGAGAAAATTTAGAAGGTTATTTTTCTTTTGAGTATGTATTTCTAAAAGGTATGTTTGCCTCTGTGAGAGTTCAGAATAGCTGACTTAGCAGCAAAGTCTGCTAATCACTTGAATTACTAACATTAGGGAAGTGGGTGAGAAGCCAGATGAGGACCACAGCAATGTCCAGAAGGGTCCGAGAGCTGGGGCCGTCTCATCCGCGCTGTCCAGTGGGGTGGATGCTGCTCGCAGGCCACTGTGTAGCAGCTGGACTCGTCTGAGCTTTTCTTTCTTTAACTGCGCATGAGCAGTCGCTTTAGAGACTTAAAGTCGAGGGTACTTTTTTAAAAACAGATTTGTTTATTTATTTAATTCCATTTGTTATATTATTTTTTAGTTCCACCAGAGAGAGAAAGGGGGGAAGTGAGAAAGCAAGCCACCAGGTTGGGGACTCGAACTGTGGTCGGGCATGTGGGAATCCAGCACTCTTTACCACTACGCCACCTGCACGTTTTTCTCCTGTGAGGCTTGTGGAGAGTTCATTTCCCAGGGCTAAGGGAAGTGCTCGATTTAGTTTAAAATCCTGTTCTCTAAAATACCTCTCCATTGTGGGGACAACAAAGCTGCTGTAACTTTTCTTGGATGAATGAGTATGCAAAGCAGCAAGCGAGAAATTGATGGTCTTGAACTTTAAATATTTTAGTAGAACATGTTTGAGTGCTTGCTGGGGTATTTTTAGGACCAGAGAGACTTGGAAGACTCTCTGGTTTTCAGAAGTGCCCTTCTCTGCTCCTTGCCATGTGTCTGGAAGCCTGGGTGTGCGAAGGTTTTCCAGTAGGGATTCAAGGCTAAAGTTTTGGTGTACGTTTTCATAGCTGAGCAGGATGTGGACTTAGACCCAGTCCACGGTGGTCCTGCCGTGCGCCTCAGCAGTGTAAGACCTCGTACAGCCTTGTGGACAGGTGCACAGGGGTGATGGCCCGGTGTGTGTGTGTGTGTGTGTGTGTGTGTGTGTGTGTGTGTGTGTGTATGGGGGGTGTAAGGGTGCATAAGATCTGGAGAGTGACAGAGAGGGGACATGAGAAAGCACTCCCTGGGGGTGAACGGCCGCTCCACAGTCCCTTTTCCACCTTCCTGCCTGGATTCCTGCACATAGGCACATGCACCCAGGGGTCTAGACTCAAACTGTACCGTTGGCCCTGTGGGATCCAGCCATCTCAGCCACTGTGCCACCACCCAGCCTAACCGCATGTTCATTTGTTTGTTTAACAAATGAACAAACGTGGTGGTTAAAGATGCTGAAGTTCCCACGTGACTGACCGTGGTTCAAGTCTCGGATCTGGCAGCTTGTTTTCTCACTTTCTCTCTGTCTTTCTCTGGTCAAATTAAAACTAATAATAATAATAATAATAATAATAAATAAAGTGAAAGAAGATAATTCTGAAAAAAATCCTTCTGAGTATTTTACCCATTTGACACATTTGATCACTTTTGAAAAAATAGTTTTGGGTGGGGCCAGCAGGTGGTGCAATGGTTGAGGCTCTGGACTCCCACATTGCAGATCACGGTTTGAGTCCTGGATCAGGCAGCTTGCTTTCTCACTTTCCCTCTCTCTGTTCTCATATCTCTCTCTGGTCAGATTAAAAAATAATAATAAATAAAATTTAATATATATTGGGAACCAGCAGTTAGTGTAATGGCTATGTCGCTGAACTCCCACATAGTCGACCATGGTTCGTGTCCTGGACCCAGTGGCTTAAAACTCAACGCTGGGCACGTGTGCGTGTGTGCCCAAGATCCCGAGAGAAGAATGGAGGAGAAGGGATTGCTGCGTGACCATCCCCCCTGGGGGGTGATTTCTCGCTTTCTGTCTCTCTGTCTCTCTCTGTCTGTCTGGCGAGCGCACGCGCCCTATAGCGAGAACCTCTCAAAAAAAAAATAAATAGTTTCGGGTGTACCTGGGATTGATAGCTTATCTGTGTCCCATGTTCCCACCCCTTAATTTTCCTCTTCTCTCTCCTTCTCTTCCTTCAGAATACCGTCAGAGGGGTCTATCAGCTTTGTGTATTTTTGAGCAGGGTGACCTTTGACTTAGGCAAGGATCAAAATTGCGGTCTAAGTGGGACCCTGTCACTAACAGGAGACAGCTGAAATCCACTTTCCCCCAGGATTTCTGCAAGGAGCAATGTGTTGCCCAGCTTGACTCTTGTCTCTGGTGGTTTGGCTTTCGTGGGTAGTCTCTCGTCTGCACCTTTCAGCTCCTGGGCCACGTGCCAGCCTCACGAGCCTGCTGCAGCATGCTCCGGTGGCGTCCCCTCCTGCTTACACTGTCCCCCTTTGTCTAGGTCGCACAGAGCATCGAGGACCACCACCAGGAAGTGATCGGCTTCTGCAGAGAGAATGGCTTCCAAGGCCTGGTGGCCTACGACTCCGACTACGCCCTGTGCAACATCCCCTACTACTTCAGTGCCCACGCCCTCAAGCTCAGCCGCAACGGCAAGAGCCTCACCACCAGCCAGTATCTGATGCACGAGGTGGCCAAGCAGCTGGACCTGAACCCCAACCGTTTCCCCATCTTTGCTGCTCTATTAGGTAGGTGGGGCGGTGGGCACACTCTCCGCTGTGTGGTGGGGGTTTATGCTGCAGGCGCGTCGAATTGCTCAAATATTTCAGTCCTGAGTGCTTCGGGTGTATGCCTTAAACTGGAAAGGACCAAGGTGTGGACTCGTCCTTGCCAGGCTGTGGGGGTAGCTGGTGATTTGTTGCCTTTTTTCATTGTGTATTATATGAAGTTCTAGCTGGCCTGGAAAACTAGTTTTGTGAGTAAATTCACTTAAAGTTTTGGAAAAATGTTTCTAAATCACAGATGCTAACACATGCTCACTATGAAAATCAGACATTTAAACTTTGGCATAACTTATGTTTCTAATAGAAGAAAGTATGCATTGCAGTTAGTGCTGTTTTCTCTCCGTCATTGTCAGTACACACACTGCTAAAAGAAAAATAATGAAAATAAACTTCGCCTTGTTCCTAGCACCTGTATTCTAAGTAGTTGTATCCATGTCTTTAAAAATTCATGGAGGAATTTCCTATGCTGAATATCTAGGCAGGATGAAAGCTTGTGTTAACTGAGATTGCTAACGTTAACTGCTTTTACCTTAAAGTGAGGTAGTGTGTGTTCAGCGCACGTCTGCACTGAGGAGTTGGCCTCTCTGTTTTCTCTTCTGTCAGCTCTCCCTCTCGTGCTTGCTTGGTCTCCTGCTGCCCTTAATGTCCAGCTCTCATTGGCTGAGAGTTTTTAAGAATTGTGTCTAGATATAAGCAAATGTATTTGAAAGTGAGGCCCTCCGTGATTAGAGTTCGCGGTGGTGATGGGATCTGGGGTGCTGTGGTCCACGGAGCCCTTGCTAGGAGCCCTGCAGCCCTAGCAGTCTTTGTGCTTGCTTTCAGTTTGAGTTCCGTGAGGTAAGCAGCCCAGTGTGGTCATGTCTGAAAGGGTGGTTTTTAGAAATTTCTAGTCATCAGAAAGATTTTTATAAACATTACAAAATAGTTTTACATGACTAGAAATTATGAGTTAATGGGGCCAGCAGGTGGCATGGTGGTTAAGGGTGGACTCCCACATGGCCAACCGTGGTTCGAATCCTGGACCTGGGGGCTTGCTTTCTCACTCTCCCCCTCTGTCTTTTGCTCTCACTCTCACTCTGTCCCTCTCCGGTCAAATTAAAACAAATAAGTAAATAAATGAAGCTAAATAAAATAATTGTTTCTTAAAAAAGAAATTATGAGTTAAATTTTTTAATATATTACTTTGTGATAGCATTTCGAAATTTATTATATCATGATCAGTCAATAACATTATGATTTTACAGTAGTTATCTTTTTGGTTCTATCCCAAATACAGTTTCTTAGAGAATTCATATGACTTTTGGGTTTTGGAGGATTCAGATTAATCTTCTAAATACATTTTCAAATATTAACATACAGAAGGTATCTCCTCTTACATTAAAAATGGGTATGCAGGTGACATAGTATATGGGAAGTTCCATATCTGCTTAAATGTGATGCAGAGCAACTCAGCATGTGGGTTGACTTCCAGTGAGTGAAAATGACATGCTCCTAGAATGTGGATGCCTTGGCTCATAGGAACTATGGAAGAGTATCTTACTTAAGAAAACCTGATACATTTCTTGGGAAATAATACCAACTCATACTTTTCTAGCTAATTATATTGTGAAATTTTTGTGAAATTCATGATAAAATTAATAGTAATGCTTTATCAAATTAATTTAGGGCTTAAAAAATTTCTTTTAAAAGGTTAGGGTACTTGTAGGTGAGCTGGGTGAGCTTTTTAATTTTATATTCTATGAAAGTTTCCATGTCCTCAAAGGAGAAAGCGGTTTTCTTTTCCCTTCTATAACACATAGTTGTGTAAGTTGTTTTAGGAAAATTGGATGAGATATTCATTCAGGTTTTCAGAGAGGCTATTAGTTATTAAGGTAGCTTAATATTCTTTATCAAATTGAAGCTTCAAAAAAAAATTCAAGACACTTTGTACTTTACAGTAGAGTTCTGTGCAGTCTGTCAGCAGAGGAAAGCAGTGCAGAGCGCGGCCAGCCTTGGCCTCTTGGGCCCACCGTGGCTCCTCCGACCATGTGCTAGTGCATTGGGAATATCAAGATGTTGCAGTGTTGCAAATGATCTTACCTTGTTTTGCTTTCTGTTAGCAGCTAATTAATGAATCTGCTATCTTAATGTGGAAGTGATTAAAGCATGTTATGAAATTCATAGAGTTACTTAGGAGAGTAGGACTTTGGAACTGCATGGAGATCAGTTACATACTACAGATGTGAGCGCAGGCATCCACGCACCGTGCTGAGCCGGGAGAGTAGGTTCCCCAGCGGATGTGGTTCTCGTCTGTGTCCCCACAGCACGGGGAGGGGTGGACAGCATGTGGCCCTCGCAGGTGTGGCCGTGGGATCCGCCCTGTTACTTACACTTGGCCCCACGTGGGGGTGGTGATGGAAATGGAGGGAGGAAGCTCTCGGTTCATGGGACGGCCATTGTCATTTAACCGTGCTTAGGAAGATTTTGTAGTGGTGCAGACTTTACATGTGGCTGTTGAACCTACTTCATGCAGTTTTGAACCACAGCCATTTCCTAATCGAAGCCTGAATCACGACTGTCTCCACGAACAAAGGAAAACTTGCACGGGTGGGTGTTTGGCATCCGGGGTCAGCAGACTGGCATCTATGTCAGTGCTGTGCAGGAGTTGGTTAGGTCCCGTGTGGTTCCGGCAGCCCTCGTCGGCCTATCGCTGGACTGCTGGCGGAGCACTCGGGCCTTCCGCCGGTCCACGGAGCCCGCCTGCCGAGTGCCGCTCCTGTTCAGAGACGAGAGCTGCTCTCAGGCTCGGTGTGGGCGTTGTACGTGCTGTCATGGCGAGCAAAGGTAATCTGCTGTCACCGACACGATGCAGCGTCTGTGAAAGTTTCCTCATGCCTCTTAATCACGATTGCTTTTACGCTGTCTGCATTTGTGTTCCAGGGAACCACATCCTACCTGATGAAGATCTGGCTTCCTTCCACTGGAGTTTGCTTGGCCCCGAGCATCCGCTAGCCTCACTGAAGGTACCTGCTTTGATTTATTTCTAGCTTTGTGATAGTCAGGTTGGGTTTTCTGTTAGTTAGTAGCTAGTTTATTGCTATTAACGTTAACAATATAATTATGTCCTTCATTGTGCAAGGAGGCATCCTCTGACAACATGCAGTGTCACAGTGTCCCCTGATTTCAGGGTCTGGGAGGCTTCAGAAGGTGGCCTGCCTCTTCCCAGCACGCACGTGTGTCGGGAGAGTACAGGCGCCCTTGAAGATCCCCTCCAGGGGTCTTCACTCCAAGTCCCTATACGGGAGGGACTTTCTGAGCCTAGCTTCTTGTGTACCTACCTAAAATACTAATTTTTTTCAACAGGTAGTTTAGTCATTTGTCACTTAGATCATTGTCTTTTAGCATAGTTTGATAAATTTCTTAACACTCTTACTATTTTCCTGCAATTATGAAACAGTCTAATTGAGGCCTTCGTGCTTTACAGCTGTTGGGGACACCTACATTCTCAGAGGAGTCCATGTTACAAATACTTCGTATGTCTTCTTGTCTTTGTCGCTTTCCAGTCTCCTTTCTCTCCTCTCATAGTAAGGGACATCAGAGAAGAGGCACTTAACTCTGACCTCAGGTGGAAAGGGGTGCGTGGTTGGCGTGGCACAATGGTATCATGGAGCTTGGGACGAGCCCTGGGAAGCTGCCGTTTGGACCTGTCCATGGCTCCTGTGAGCAGAGCTGTCACTCCTTAGGGCCAAGTGCCTTTCGTGACTTGGGAGATTGGGGAGGTGCTAACGGAGACTTGTTTCTGCTCCCAGCTCTGGGACTGTCTGATTTCGCACATAAAGGGATGAGGTTAAAGTGGATGATTTTAGAAGGCACATATCCCTGTAAGAGTTCTGATTTATATCAGAATTACCCTCCCTCTACAAGTAGTTTCAATTCGTAGTTTGTTTCTAATTGGAGTTCTTCAGGTATTTTAATTTGCATTTAATTTCAGTGATACCTGAAGGTTCAAGCAGAATTTCCTTCCTACTTATTTCAGTTTTGCTCTTTGCTGTTTAAAACCTCTTTACTTTGGGGGCTGGCAGGTGGCATGGAGGTTAAGGTAATGGATTCTCACATTATGAACTATGGTTCAAACCCTGGACCTGCCACTTGAAAATCGTGCCAGGCACATGTGTGTGCATACCCAAAATCCCGAGAGGAGAATGGAGGAGAAGGAATTGTGTGGCCATCCTCATGGAGGGTGATTTCTCACTTTCCCTCTGTCTCTTTTGAGTACAGGCATCCTATGGCAAAAATCTAAAAAAAAAAAATACACACACACACACACACACACACACACACACCCCCCAAAACTCCACTTCTTTACATTTTCATCTCTGACTGGCACTGTTTCCAACTTTTATTTGAAAGGTAGTTTTTCTCCTCTTATTAGAAATAACTATTTTGTTTGGCTGGATTTTTTTGCTTTTGTTGCCCTTGAAAGAGAAAAGATTTCTTCCTCCTGGGTCAGGAGAGCGCCTCCTGCGTGCTTTCAGGATGAGGTCTGTAATCTTGCCCCAAGCTGCAGATGATACCGGGAAGTGTAGGCTGGGAAGTTGTGTCGGCTGGACTTCGGATACTGCACCTGTGCCCATCAGGTTTGGGAAGCATTATGCTTTCCTATGTTGAAACACAAAGGAAGGGCTGTGTCTTAGTTGTTTAGTTTGCTAGATGAGGACTGAGGAGCTCCCTGAACTCAGGCCTGTGCCTATGTGTAGGCTGAGCTACCTTATGTCGTGGGATTGGAAACGAGGAGTTGCAGACTGGCCAGTAATGTTATCACATGTGCTTTCCCCCACGTTCTGTGAAGAACAGTTTTTGGATATAAAATGTTGAAAGCCCAGTGGGGTGGTGCATGGTGCGGGCTGCTGGGACACTGTGCTTTGTAGGCTTGAGCTATATGGGAGGGCTGGGTTCAATTCCTGGTCCAACCTAAAGGCTGAGTGTGGTGGCCAAGCCTGCAGTACCAGCTGAACAGATGTGCCAGCAAGACCCAACAGGGCAAGAGTGTCTGAGAACTGTTGACCGTCTTGGTCCAGCAGTTGTTAACATTTTGTCATAATGAGGGCCAGCAGGTGTTGTGGTGGTGAAGGTGCTGGATTCCTACATGGCTGACTGCAGTTTGAATCCTGGACACGGCAGTTTGAAAATTAGACTGGGTATGTGTGTGTACATGCCCAAAATCCTGAGAGAAGAACAGAGGAGAAGAGGTGGTGGCGTGGCCACCCCCTGGGGTGGCGGTTTTTCACTTTCCCTCTGTCTCTCTCTCTCTCTAGTAAGTATACATGCCCTATGGCAAAACTGAAAAGAAAAAAAATTGCCATAATGTATTTTCATGAGAGGTCTTGAGACAGTTCACAAAAAACACAAGTTTGAGGGACCAGCAGATGGTGTAATGGTTACATTGCTAGACTCCCACATAGTAGACTGCAGTTTGAATCCTGAACCCGACAACTTAAAATTTGTGATGAAAGACCAGCAGATGGCATAATGGCTGTGTCGCTGGACTCCCATGTAGTCGACTGTGGTACGAATCCTGGACCCGGTGGCTTAAACTCACACCGGACGCGTGTGCGTGTGTGCCCAAGGTCCCAAGAGGAGAATGGAGGAGAAGGGATTGCAGTGTGGCCATCCCCCAGGGATGGGGGATGTTGACCAAGACGGTCAACAGTTGTTTTTCTGTCTCTCTGGCGAGCACACGTGCCTTATAGGAATAAAATCTCTCTTAAAAAAAAATAATAAAAGAAATATAAGAAAGCATGTGTTTGAAAAAAGTATACATGGATTTCAGTTTTTTTGCACTAAAATAAATTCACACTTTAATTCCATTTTTCTACAAACTTTTTGAAATCCCCTCATATATATCTGTGTTTTGTTTCATTTTGTTTTGGCTATCTGGGAGTAAGTTGCAGGTGTGATAGCATATAGCCCGTGGAAGAGGCAGCTGGCCGCACTGTCTCCTTAATTAATTGTCTCCAGTAAGCATTTCATTTTAAGTCTCTACTCAGTTTTCAGCTGTCCCTGAAAGTCCTCTTTTTTTTTTTTTTTGAGAGGTTTTTTGCTATAGGGCGCGTGCGCTCGCCAGACAGACAGAGAGAGACATAGAGACAGAAAGCGAGAAATCACCCCCCCAGAGGGGATGGTCACAACGCAATCCCTTCTCCTCCATTCTCCTCTCGGGATCTTGGGCACACATGCACATGCGCCGTGAGTTTTAAGCCACTGGATCCGGGACGTGAACCGTGGTCGACTACGTGAGAGTCCAGCGACATAGCCATTACGCTAACTGCTGGTTCCCCCTGAAAGTCCTCTAAAGCATTGATTTTTTTAAAAATTAGGATACAGTGTGGGGTGAGAGGGAGGGGCTCAGGGAAAAAAATTAGGATCCATTCAATTTTTTTTTTTTTTTTTAGTTTTGCTATAGAGTGTGTGCTCTCACCAGAGAGAGACACAGAGAAAGAGGGAAAGTGAGAAATCACTCCCTAGAGGGGATATCCATGCTGCAGTCCCTTCTCATTTCCTCTTGGGGTTTTGGGCATGCATATATACATGTGCCCAGCATGATTTTCAAGTCCCCGGGTCTAGGACTTGAACTACACAGCCAGCCATGTGGGACTTAGGACCTTAACATCCATACCATTTGCCAGCCTCACGATTCAGTCAAATTTCATACAGCATTATCCTGTATATTTTGGAACTAGCTGGGTACTTTTATTACATAATGGAGAAGCAAGCCAAAATAATTTTTCCAACAACTTGATAATTTATAAATTTTAAAAATTTATATCTTCCATGAGAAAGAGAGAGAAAAGAGAGAGTCACCTCCAGCAGGGCCTTCATGTCGTGATCTCCTCACAGCCCCATTTAATCAGATCCACGCACTGTATGCCCGAGGTGTAAGGGAGGACCCTGGATATGATCCCAGGACCTTCCCACATGGTGCATTGCATTGACACTGTACCGCCACTGACTCCAGGTTACAAGGCTTTAAAGTCACATTCTGAATTGCAGGCAGGCACCCTGGCTTTGAGTTTAAAGTGCTGTGGCCAGGACTTGAACCACTCAGTGGGCCAAGTGGGATCCAGCTCCCTTGACCACCAGGCCACGGGCTGGCCCCCAAATCTGAAACTTTTTGAACACTGACATGACACCACAAGTGGAAAATTCCATTCTCGACCTTGCAATGCATGAACATTATATGAAACTCCCCAAGGTGATGTGTATGAAGAATATACTGAACAGAAATGGATTTCCCGCCTGTGCTTGGATCCCATCCCCAAGGCAAGTCAGCATGTATACATGAATATGTATGTAAAAATCCAAAATAATCAGAAATCTCAAGTGCCTTGGTCCTAAGCATCTGAGTAAGGGATACTTGAACTGTAGTAACATTTAAGTTAGTTATAGGTCATTGTGTTCTTTTTAAAAATTATTTATTTTTGAAATGTTTTGCTATAGAGCATGTTTGCTCACTAGAGATGAACAGAGACAGAGAAAATGAGTAATCACCTCCCAGGGGACGGCCACACCACAGTCCCCTCTCTGTTCTCCTCTAGGGATTTTGGGTATGCATGTACACAAGCCCAGTGTGTTTTTCAAGCTGTAGGTCTGGGACTTGAACTGTGCAGTTGGTCATGTGGGATCCAGCTGCTTTAGCCTCCATGCCATTTGGTGGCCCTTTTGTGTTCACTGTAATCAATCTTTTCCATTCATCATCTTTACACTCAGTTTCATGTATTTTGATTCTGTCTCTGTGTTGTTTGGGACCCTCGAGGGGTCCCAACTCCAGGGCCCCTTGAGCCCCAGCCACTCTCCTTGTCTTGGGTGTTTGCTGGCTTTGCCCGTCCCCAGACGTCACTCCCGGCCACTGCTCCCCTTTGTGGTTGGATTCAGCCACGTCTCTGCTTCACCCTCTCTGTTCCATCTTTTTGAAAACCCTGCCTCTGTGGTGAGTAGGCAGCTGAGCCTGCAGAGGCCTGGATTG